CAATCAACCTTGGTGTCTGAACACCTGGTGGGAGTACCAAGCAGCGACTCTTGACGAAGAGGCGCGAAGTGACATGAGCGTTCCCCATGGAATCGATTTAACATGTTGATTGATCTTTTGCTCGCGTTCGACGTGGCCCGGGCGCTCCAGGAGGCTGTTCTGCACAAGGACAGGCCGTGTCATTTTTGCCGCATCTTCTGTCATGACTGCTCGATTCCGCAATCGTGCAGGCGAGGCCATTTGAAGATGCTTCGCAAGACGCGGCCTCAGGTTTCAAGGTGCCACGGTAGAATCACTTCGTTTGGTCTCTTAGAAGTCAGAATTTGGAACTGGCAGACAACCGAGAACGACTCCCCGGTTTGCAGCTGCTTTCCTGGACGCTTGATAAAGTCATATGACTAAGTGCGAGTTTCTAAGGCCGAGCTTACAGAGGAGGACTTGCCGATCTCGGGTTCCACGCTCCGAAGAAATTTGCTTGAAGCATGTGCCCGCAGGAGTTGGACTGGCTGCAGAGCGGCGTGCAGGCATTCGCGGGAAACGTTTTCTTTGAAAGGTTTCTTTGCAAAGTTCATTGAATGTCAGCAATTCGCGCCCGCTCTAGGTTCCAAACTCCAGTGCTAAGTTGAAGCAAAAGAAGAAGAAAGTGTGGATATCCGTGGACTCCTTAGTGATTTGTCGCTGGCAATCAAAGCTTGTCGGGCAGTTCACGTTTATCGCTATAAGGTCTATCCGCAGACTGCCCTCCACATGAAACCAAAACCTCAAATGCGATGAGGCCTCAGCAAACGCCAGAAAGCCCGAAGACACGCAAAGCTGCGTTTGGGCGACTCAGTCGAGCTTCAGAACCTTTGGGTCAAACCTCGGTGCCCCGATGTCCCTTTCGGCGAGCAAAGCCCTACACATCCAACGACGCAGTTTAACTTGAATGTAGGAAATGCGACGCAGTTTTACGGCATCACATTTTATTTGACGCTCAAAAACTTCGAGGGAACAGTTTCGTTAAAAGTTTCGTTAAAACATGTTATGGTTATATATATATCTTTAAATATATAAGTCCTGGCAGCACATTTTTCAGCCAAAAAACAAGTTCAATAGCGCCTTTTTCCCTGCGCCATGCCTTGTAAACATCCACACGCGCCAATCTCTTCTTGGCAAAATGTTGCCGGGGCCAGAGTCACGCTAGAGTCACGTTCGAGCCCAAGTTTTTTATATAAAAAACTTGCCTGTTGAAAGTTTTTGTTGAATAAAACTTCGAGTAAGGGGGGGAGTCACGGTAGAGTCACGCTACAGTCACGGTAGAGGCACACATGTAGCTATGCCAGCAAGCTGGCACAACTATATCGCGGGATTGTTGCACGAACAGGTCGGTTTGGAGTCATGACAGTGCCGCAGAAAACTGATAAACAACATTACCACCGAAACGCACACGTGCTGCCAGGAATTTGTTTCAGTTTCATCTTAATATATATATATATACAACACCAACAAGTTAAAGACGATAAAAACTTAGGAAAAGACGATAAAACCTTTCAGGTAACAAAAGTTTTTGACAGTCACATTTTCTTGAAACTTTCGAGGAAAATGCGACGCAGTAAAACGGAGACATTGATTTGCAGGGAAAGATTTGCATGTGGCTCGATGCTGTTCGAGCTGCGCGGGGTCCGGGATTCAGTGAAATCATCCTCCACATGCGCTTCAACATCTTACGTTTCCACACGTTCCCTCGCTATTTCACACGCGTCTGACACGTCACGCTTCCATCCAAAACCCTCTCCAAAAGCTTCCCCCAATGGCAGCGCCTTCGTGTCCTACTGCCACGCGCGAACAAGGCTCCCCAGACCCCCAGAGTTAAACGAGAACCATTCGCTACGCATTCGGGAGCAAGACCTTGGTTCCCATGAGCAAGGTGTAGTGGTTTTACCTTCTCAAAAACTACTCTACTTCGAGTGATCGCCACCGTCGCAAGTACTCCATGGAGCGTGCAGACCTTGCACTGCCAAGCGGAACTCGTGTTTGAGGTCCAGTGGGGAACACTGCCATCCTGCACTTGCGGTTGAGGTCCGGCAACACTGCCATCTGAAGCCGAGGAGGAGGAGGAGGGGGAGGAGGAGGAGGAGGACGGGAGCTGACATAAAATCTAACAACCCTCACCTGACAGCTGGGGAGCCAACATCCCCACCCTCCTCGAACGAACCATTGGGTTTGCGAAGCCACGTCGCACCTTGACGAAGGATCATGAAGGGAAAGCAGTTAGGACTGTTGATCGCAGCGATGTGTGAAGTGTTTGGGCGTGTCAAGTGTCACAGCTATTATGTGTCGGACACAACCTCATTCCTCGTGAAACAACATAATAGCAGCATCACACCCATCAGCAATGCATTTGTTGGACTACAGTTTGAACATGGTTAACATAGACATAGATGATAGATGGAAGTCTCCCCAAAAAAACTACACATCAAAGCCACAAGACTAGTTACTAAATACTTACCAAAACCTTCTATACATTCTATGATGGTTTGCTGCAGGTGTGGCAGACACATCTTCCAGCATCCAAGCACCGTGTTTTTTTTGGCAAGTTTCTCACAAAGCAGATGCAGTCTATTGTTCGGGTTCTCATGGGGCTCTCAAGGCTTTTAAGCGTACCAAAATTCTTGAACATTTATGTCATAGCAGCGACCTGGAGTTTCCAAGTCTTTCGCAAGCACCTGTTTTTAGAGGGTCATGTCCCATTTTCTGAATTACTTTTGAGCGTCCATGTTCTTTTCACGCCACCGTGGCACGAGTCGCTGAATCCGGCGTCGTCTCCGCTGTCAGGCGAGGGCACAGATGGAGCGCTCGCGGACGATGGAGAGCATCGACACTGGGCGCATCCGGGACTTGGGGAGTCATTTTTAGAGAAATGAGGTGGTTCACTGTTTTTGTTCAATGGTCGCCAGATGGCCTGTGCATTCAAACCCTTTGCAGAGGCCCAGGATTCTATGGACAAGATCGGCTTCTAGTGTGTTGATGCCTTCCACTGACATGGCCAATGGAAACAATGTCGTTGTAACCTTCGTGTCTTGGTTGACCTCGCCAATTTTTAAGTTTGAAAACTATATAGAGTGTACAGTTAAGTGTTAGTATTTGCGGTCATCGTGGCTTCGGAAGTTTGCACCCATTCTCAACGACATCCTGGCAAAACAGCGCAACCATGCCATCGAAAAGTGTCAGCGCAATTGGTTGCATTCTACCCGGCGTAAACCAGGCAATGCCAAGATCTAACGGCTGTTCCAACAAGTCTTCCACGGCAACAGTGAAGAAGGTGAAGACATTCACGAAAAAACCTCCCCAGAAAACCATGAAGTGAAGGGCAGTGAAGGGTTTTATGCTGCAGTTGTCGATTCTTATAGAGCCCCAAAAACCAAACATGACAGCCCGGGGAGTGACATCCTTGGAAGTGCATCCGACTACCTGTTTGTAGAGGGAGTATGGTCATTCAAGGGATTTCCATGACTATTGTGACATATTGTGACTATGGGAGTGCACTGATCGAGGTGGCTGACTGTTTCCCAACTTCTGAAAAGCGAACAAAAATTGCGCGGCTGGAAGATCCAACTATTCCAGTCCCGTCTGGAGTGTTTGATCCCCAGCCAGGTCGCCCAGATCGTGAGATGCCAGGTCGCCCTAGCTGAAGCCCGCAGGCGGCGACCTATGCCAGTGCCACAAAAATGTGTTTATTCAACAAGAATTTTGTTTAATGGTCTTCTCCATGTCGGCGAGGGTTTGTTCTGCTCATTCCAAGGTCACGCAGACAGCCACTTGGACTGGATGTTGTTTGTTTTCGGGTCGCTTGTGTGGGCTTCGGTGTCATGAGTGTCTTGGTTGTGTGCCTCATGTCCTTTTCTCGGTTTGGACCGTTTCTCCGGTTTGGACCAAACCTCATGCTTTCGGTCCTGGTAGGACCGGTCCAATGGTCCAACCATTTCGAGGAATCGAAACCACGAATCGATCAGTGGGGGGACATGTCCCCCGGCGAACGGTTCGGGTGCAGACTGCTGCAACAAGGTCGCCCCCAAATTATTTATATGAGTAAAAGCAGTAGTAGTAGCAGCAGCAGCAGCAGTAGTAGGAGCAGTGGCTGTGGCAGTAGCAGTAGCAGTAGTGGTAGCAGTAGCAGTAGCAGAAGCAGT